ATCCCATATAGCCCTGCCATCACTCCCCCAAGCCACAGGACCTGTCCTGGTCTCTCTGTCCTCAGGCTGCAGCCACACCATGCATGGGGCCCCTCAACCCCCGTGTAGCTTCAGAAAGAAACAAACCATATTCAGTCATGGCAGAAGAGCTCATCTTGCAGACTTTCTTCACTTGTCTTGACTTACTGTCCTTGATCAAAGATATGAACTTAGGGCCAGATGTAGTGGTACTGGGCCATGTTGATGTTCTGTCTTTAGTCCTTCAATCCCTGACCCTTCGTCTGCTGCCTCCTGTCAGCTGCTCCTGCTGTTTACTCACCCCTCATGGTCTGTGACCTGTTAACACTCCTTAGTGACCCCACCAAAACCTAGTGTTTCTAGTCACTGAGTTGCTTTCCAAAATCTTCCCTCACTTTATGATTCCTTATCCATTTCCCAAATCAGTCTCTAAATGGAGTGGTTCATACCCTAATTTACGTTTGTAGACAACACTCAGATTAGCTCTCCCTGAATTGTTGGGATTTTACAAGCATGGACCACAGTGTATGCATTTTTTTAATTCTACATTTTATTCAAATTTTTCAGAAGGATACTATAAATCAAAAAGGGTAAAGGGTCTATTGCTTGGCACTGCACATAATAATTAGCAGCATCTGTTATGGGAGGTAGATGTTATTTGGCTACCATCATTGTAATAAATAACTATAATATACAACATTTCAAGAATTTAGATTTAATACTGTAGAAGGCATAAAATGGCAGATGTTATATTCAGTTTTTGATGAGAGTGTAAGAGTCAGAAAAAATTCCCATCAAGGAATTCTTTTGAGAACTTGAATTCTGGGGAAGCACATTGGAGGCCGCAGACACTCCAGAGACACAGAGGCCCCTGGCCTACTGTGTGGTAAGTCCCACCTCCACCCACAGCCTTCCAGTGGGGGCCTCTCAACACACTTCCTCTTGGTCACCACTCACTGGCCTGGAGCCTGGAGGCACATAATGCCTTGCCCTCACTTACACAAAATGCATATTAGAAAATGGTGGAAACTGGGCCATTCTTCTCCTGACCCCAGTAGGTAACTGAGCCAGACTCTTTCTGATTCCCCAGTCTCCCCCCTGGGACAATGTATGCAGCCCTGGAGTTGTGTCACAACCTTGCACTTAAACCTATCAATAAAATGTATGTGTTACATTCTGTTCTGTAATATATCCTCAATTGTTTCAATATATAATAAAATGTCTTATGTTGCTGAACCAGAAATTTGTGCCACATTTATCTATCCTGTTATGTCCTGTTGTGTAGAGCACAGATATTGGACAAGCATCATGATTTATTTTTCCTGCCTATGATTAAAAATGCTGAGATATAAATCGTATAGCAAGAACAAGAGGGAACCCAAGTTACCATTTTAAATACCAGAGAGTTAGGCGGTAATATTCTTAACATATTTTTTGGCAATTGGCCAAAAATTGACCCTATCAAAAGGCAGAGCAAGCAGTCCTAAATGATATTCCCCACTACTTGAGGGAAACCATTATCTTGGAGAAAAACAGGGTCAATAAATTCCTTGTGTTAAGTTTATCATACAGAATATCTAGAGGACTAACTATGGAATGTGACATAATGTCTCTCACCAGAGATACACATCATAAGGCCACATGTCAAGCATATGGTCCCTTGGCTGTTTACCCCATTGAAATCCTTAAAAGACACAAGTCCTAAGCCTTTAAGCGAGCCTCCTCTCTGAGGCTGCCCATACTCTCTCTTCTCTGAGTGTGTACTTTGCCTTAAATAAAGCCATCTTGCTGCTCAAATTATGTTTTGTCTCCAAGCTCTTCCAAACCTGTTGGGAGATTAATAAGAGCCCCTTTCTGAGTGGTAAGCATCTCGGTTACTTTGCTATTTCATTCTATTTTCTAGACTTAAGCACAAGTCTTCACTCTCTCTGTCCTACTTCAGACAAGTAGGGAAGGACCACTAAGATGTCTGCTTGGGCTTGCCAGTGCCTATCGCCCAGGTGACCGGGACAGGAATGCAGCTGTATGATCACGCTCTTTAGGAGCCTGCCCCAAAATCTCCTTTCTTTGTTTTGGGGAAGTTCTCAGAACATAATCTCACTCCTTCCAGTGCTCTGACATTCCTCCATATCTGGGTGGTAGGGACATAGTTCCTAAACCATGCAGATCCTTGAGGACACCAGATGCCAGGTGACCCTGACTTCAGGAGCTGGCATGAGATTTGCCCTGTGCAGAGCAGGAGTTCAGTGAAGTTCCCTTTCTTCCCTCTGTCTTCCTTGCTCTCTACTCCCTACACGGCAGCTGTCATTCCCTATTACTCTCATTTTAATGAATTGCTTTCTTACCTACACTTCTCCACACTGATTGTGAATTCTTTCTTGATCAGGGTTAAGAACCTTCCTGTATCCAGGTTGATGTGCCACCTAGTGTGCAGGGTGAGACCTTCCCAGATGTAGCTGCCTGACAGTATCAACCTCAATACACTGGCAGCTGGCCTAATCTCTATCAGGAAATAGAAATGCATTGTCAGAATTCTCAAGGAAATGGGACACTGTCCAGGCCAAGATGGTAGGTCTCACGGAGAAGTGGAACAGTGGCTCATCATTGCTGAGGCTGCACAGCAACCATGGTGATCACCAGAGGGCAACAGGTTCCCTGAGAAACTTCTCACCTGTTCTCTGGGCCTCCCACACTGCATTAACAGAGTATCAGATTAATGCTACTTTGTTTTGATCTAAATGAGGATATTTTGGTTTCTTGTTTATTTTGTTTGCTTCTTTTAAATGCATTTTTCCCACAAAATATCGCACTACTTTGAAAAAGAGAAATGCAAGGTTACTGGTAGTTTAACTTGGTAGGAGGCAGCAATTCATATTAAGAAACATACTATACAGCAGGAATAGAGTTGGAGCAAGGTAATTAAACACACAGATGGAAACGTCCAGCATTCCCAAGCAGAAGATCAGCACTGGTGCCGGAGGAAAAAGTGACACTCAGGGAAACAGGAAAAGGCTTCTCTGCTCTCCTAAGTCCGAGGAGCCCAATGGGACATAAACAGCCACTGCGGTTGATACATGGTGGAAGTTCACTGGGTGACACAGGACTGAAGCTACAAGGCATTGCTCAGGCCCTTGGCCCAGACCTGAGGCTTTGGATGCTCCAAATTGAAGAATTAAGTTTTTTCTTAAAAACAAAATTTCCTCTCAAGTCCTTGGACTGTGGAGTCCCTGTACCCTCCTGCTGTGTCTACTATTCCCCGTGGGGCCTCCAGCTCCCCCTGAGGTACAGTCTGCAGAGAGCATCAGGGTCTCACACCTGATCTGGACCAGGCGGAGGTATCCTTTCCCCTGAAGGAAGGGCCGGCCGGGCAAGAGGACTGAGCCCCTTGCCACTGTGCTGGGAGTGGTGGGATGACGCGAGCTGTGGGAGAGCAGGGCACTGCAGGAATGCTGCCCCCCGGCCTCCACCGCTGCCCACACACAGCCTCACTGTATGTTTTTACTCACAGGGTTACAAAGGTAACTCACTACCCATCTAAAGTGTCAGCTCTCCAGAAACCACATCACCCACATAGCTTGCTAAAAAAGCTTGCTGCAATCCCTCTTCAATCCCAAACCAATTCCTGCAGAAACACATAGTAGGATCCAATTCCAGGATTCCACACTGGGCTGGTGGTTTGTCTTCAGTTAGAACAGGAGTAGTGGATGCTTTTGTTTACTTAAGGTGTGTGTGTATGTGTGTGTGTGTGTGTGTGTGTGTGTGTGTGTGTGTGTGTGTGTGTGTGAGAGAGTTTGTGGATGATAGTCTGGTGGTCCCCAGAGTGTATGGAATGCCAGCCTTCCTAGTCTGTCATACACAGCTCCTCAGGATTTGCCCCTTGTAAGACCAATTCATAAACTTCTCATGCATAGATGTGTCACTCCAACTAATCAAAGAGTGAGCTTCCTAAGCACCCCTGGCTGCCTTTTACCTGTTTGCTTTTGAAATTGTTGGTACCTTTTTCCTCAGTCAATTTGTCAATCTTCCCCTAATCTCTTGAAATCAAGCTAGAGAGCTCTGTCTTCTGGCTCCGCATTGCTACCCTCCTCAGTAGAACTCAGGAATCACCATTATGTTTTCCTCATTAGAAACTCGTATATATCATGTCATGTTGTTAATCTACTTACGCATTTGTCTTTCTACTGAGACCACTAGGTGTTTAAGACTAAAGACTGTTCCAAATCCATGATAAACCCTAAACCATGCACAGTTCCAGGGACCTCATGGAAACTAAATAAATGTTGATTGAATATATAAATAAATACATGAATGAATCAGTAAAAATTCCTTCACTAGAGAGTCTGAATTATTTACATTTAAACTATATAATATGAAGCATGTTCAACTTATCAGATTGTCCTGAACTGGACAGTTAATTACGGGTTCAATATTGAGACTTCCCAGAATATTAGTTTCATTATTATTCAAATAATAATTCAAACTTCTCATATAAAATATGCATCAGAAATTATTTTATTATATGTTCTGTGTCTTTGTTCAAACTAATCTTTAAAAAAGTTGTATTTGGGGATTTATCCTTAGCTTCAATCATTAGTTGCCTTACTGACTTAACAGTGGAAGCACAGCAGATTCTTCCTGCCTCTTCCGTTGGATTAAAGTATTGAGACATAAACTAAATACGGATAAAGAATGAAGGCAAACAAATATGTTACCTTTTTGACATCTTCTGGTACCATTAAAGATTATGTCCTCATGACGTCTATAGTTTTCACAAGGTTATGTAACTTTTTCTCATCTGAGACTAAAGAATACACTAAATCACCTCATGCCAGTTCTAAGAGAAATAATCAAGTTCAGGATGTGATTTTAATACTGTGGATGAATTTTGTTGTGTTGATTTGTGTTATTGAGAGGTGTCTGAAGTGATTAGTTTACAGCATTTATTTATCCAGAACAATTATGGACACTACTGAAGACCATGTTAAAATGAAATTTTATTAAAGGCAGAATTACCAAAATGCCTGTGTTCTAAATATGTGACCATTCTATTAAACAAAAAGTCATACCATTATTTGCTCCACGAATAGACCAACTCATGCATATTTTTAAATAAGGTGTCTGCCTAAGCATACCAGTTGACAAAGTGTCAATCCTTGGATCTTACATAATACTCTATATTCTCAGTTATCGTTTTCAACTTGTAAAAAAATAGAACGAGTAATGTGATCTCTGAAAACCTTTGTTTCTCCTACAATCTCTTACAACTTTTTGTAGGGAAGAGATTATTGCAAATTGATGTTTGAGAAATGCAGTAATCCATTTTAAGAAAATTTCCACATGTGGACTAAAGGGGGCAGTGTTTCCTCCAATAAAGATGCCTAACCAGCTAAAAATAGGGCAGGGCAAGAGGTGAAACAGAAGGCTGTGTGACAGGAAGTGAGTGAAGTGCAGGGAGGCAAAGACAGGCTGATGTTTGTGGGGACTGGAGAAATGCCTCCTGCTTCCTCACAGGAGAGATGGACCAGCTCCTGGGGGCATCACTGTTGATCCTGTGGCTTCAGCCAGACTGTGAGTCGTGGGTGAGGTTTGAATGTGGTAGAAAATCTCCTTGGAACACTGCAAAGCTGGGAGATGAGATGATTGGACGGTTTCATTTCCTTGCTTTCTGCTCCTGATGGTTTTCTGTGGGGACTCCTAAGAATAAAATTTAAATCTGTGAATGTCTTTCTAAACAGGGGTGAGCAGTCAGCAGAAGAATGTTGACCAGCAGCAGGTTAAGCAAACGTCTCCATCCCTGAGTGTCCAAGAACGAAGAGTTGCTATTCTGAGCTGCGACTACAATAGTAATGTGTTTGATTACTTCCAATGGTACAAAATGTACCCTGCGAGAGGTCCTGCACTCCTGATATCTACAGGTTCAGATAAAAAAGAAGATGGAAGATTCACAGTCTTCCTCAACAAGAGTGCCAAACACTTCTCGCTGCACATTTCAGACTCCCTGCTGGGCGACAAAGCCTTGTACCTGTGCGCAGCAAGTGCACAGTGCTCTCCAGGCACCTGCAGCCTGTACCCAAACCTGCAGCTGGGTCCAAGCCACCCCTTCTTCAGAGTCTCAGAGTGGGAAACATGAAGACTTGCTTCTATTTATACAAGGCAGTAGGGACCACACTTTAAACTGTGTTTTAAAGCAGGGGAAAGAAGCTGAACTTTATGGAAGATTAATATTGAAAGTCTTACAAATGGGTCAGGAACATCCCTGGGCATTCAAGTGCCCAAAAGGCTAAACCTTCAAGTTTATCATTTAGTGACAGTAGAGAATAGGGTTCATGTTCCAACAGCTTGACTATAAGACCCACCCTAGGAGCCTCCCACAATGCTGCCTCCCAGTAGAATCCATTAACTAAGCACACACACTTTTGAAAACCTGCCATGTCATACAATTCTTAGCAGACATTTCTTCATCAATGACCCAGGGAAGTATCTGATTATTAATCACAGATCATGAAAGTTTGAAACTATGGTTTTATTTATAGGTATTGTGCTTATAGAAAACTGGTTGGAAGTTGCCCCTCAAGGGCTAATCTTCTGAAGCTGAAGATCCTTATAGTTGGAGAGTGCAGACATTCAGTATACCTTTCTAGATACATGGAAAAGCCTCTGGAAACTCACTTGGGGCATTGTCTGGATGGGGACTTCAGGGTGTGGTGAAGATGTTTTTGAACAGAACAGGACTGATCCATAGACTTGTATAGCTTGGTGCATCCAGGGATCCTCACGGAGATGGTGTAACTACAGGGTAAAATCTACAGATTGATCAGTTCTGTTGATTTTGATTCTCTTTCTGAACACGGATGTGAGGCTAACCCAATGTATATTAGATGCCTCATTCCTCCACATGGAGAAGTAAGAGGGCACCAATCTCAGGTGAAGTATTTCCTCCACATCTGTTCATGGTTTCCATTTACATAGGCAGGAAAGTTCTGAGGTCTTTTTTGTAATGCATGTTAGTGAGAATGAAAAGGATGGAATAATCTATACCTCCTTTCCATGCAAGGATAGGTTGGTTCTGTGCACAAATGAGGCTTTCATTCCCAAGGCTCAGACATGTAACTGCTCTGTAGACACTCCTGGCTCACGGGCATCCAGAGCCTATTTCCAAATTCAGAGCTGCAGCCACTCCACCCGGCAAAAGGCAGAGGCAGCTGAGAGCTGTTGCTGTCCTCTATGGGAGTTGAGAATGCAGCCTTGATGAATCGCTTCATTTCAATGTCAAAAAATGTGAGACACGGATGAGTAATCAGTGTAGTTATTGTACATCCCCTGTTCTTAACAAAACCTGTTTCTAACACCACAAGTCAATAAATCAAATAGCCTTTCTTATCTTCAGATATATTTCACATGATTTATAAATTATTCAAAGCCAGGTATATAGTCCCACTATAATGGATATTGCTCACTCTAATTGCCAAAATAGTTTCCCCATTTCATGGCCCTGTAGGAAGGGAGACTATAATATAAGAATATATGGATGCTTTCTCTACATTTCTAAGGCTACACAAAAGGTCATGCCACGAAAAGGAAAGCTACATGCAGTCTCATCCTTGTTATTGTTGTCCAAGCTCTTCATACTGCATCACCCCCCATTTCCACCACCCCTACAAGTAGCAATCTGTGCCCTTTTCTTGTCAGTATGTTGTGAAGCAGCATTGGTGAAGAGCTACTTTCTACAGCTGCCCGAGCCATGAGTGTGCTGCCTTCTTGAACAGGTGATCAACTTCTCAACATCTCTCAAGATTTCATGCATAATGCAAGACCAGTAATTTTTACATAACACTGTCCTCAGGTTTTAGTCACTCAGTCATATGAGAGTTATTCACTGAGTGCCTAGAACATTCTACATACAGTTACATGGCTGAAAAAAAGAGGTACAAGAAAATATGTAGCCTATTTTCTCATGCATTTTCATGTAGTTTTTTATATAGGTAACTGACCAGGGTGAGAAAACCGAGACAAGGACTAAGCCTAGGAAAGCAGGGGGTGACATGAAGGCATACAACCATCCCCCAGCTATGACAGTGAGTCAGGAAACCCCAAAGTCTGAAGCCTAAGCCAAGACCTGGTTGTAAGGATTTACCAGTTTGAAAGAAAAGGTTTGGAAAGTAAACTTTAGAAGTTGGAACACCATATGCAAGGCAATAGAGATCACAGTAAATTTCAGGACTGAAAGCCAAGGTTGTGGGATAAATAAAATTATATATATATAAAATTCAAACCAATATTGCAAAGTAGACATAATCTCAATTTTACAAATGAGCTTTGACAATCTTTATGCAGTTCCCAAATATGTCCTGTATTGACTTGAGATTACTCTAATACTTCATTCTTTGACACCTAAAGTGTGTCTTAGTGTCCAGTGCAATGAGAAAGAAGTCAACATCAGGTCTCCCTTCAGGAGCATGTAGTGTTGTGGGCTATATTACCAAATAGTGTGATCCAAGCCATCCCAGGACAAAAGTAAAATATGACCTCCTAACAGAGGCATCTACATCGGAAGCTGAATACAAGGGAGACAGTCTAAGAGGGATGATATCTTAGTTAAGATTTATAAAAGCAAGTCAGAAATGGAGTCAGGGAAATAGTATTATAGAAAAGGAGAAACGGAATATGTGCAAAGGTATACAGAGAAGTTTCATTTAGGAGAATGACATTCAAGTGGTGCAGATTGGCTGGAGCGCTCAACTCAAAATGGGTAATAGTAAATATAAACCTAAAGCAATGAGCATAAACCACATAGTAAAAATCTTAATAAGCCTTTGAAAAATGCTAAACTTTCCCTTCAAGGCATTGAGGAGCACTGAAGGGGATCTAAACAAGCCAATGCCATGTTAGACTCATGAGATACTATTTCACTAATGAAATAAATGCAATGTTATAGCATTGAAATAGTATTCTTTTTTCATATATGCATAGATGGATATAGATAGTTATATTCACATACAGGTGTACATACATTTTCCCTTGTTTTTTCCTTTAATGTTGAGGTAATTCTCACTGTAAGAAATATATTGGTAGAGACATGTATTTTATTAGAGTATATTGACAGGCTTTTCATTATAGCAAAAAAAGATATGTCTTGGATGTAAGCTTAGTCAAGAAAAGCCCAAATCCACATTTTACTCAACCTTTCTCAGCCTGGCCACAGGGGAGCACTGTTTAAAAGTATTCTAAAGAGATGCACACAATTGGGTGTAAACAGTGAAGGTCTTGTCTGCCTGATAGGTTGTCCCCCAAACGTGTGTTGTTCTGGAAACCACCACAACAGGCCCCCCTCTGGGCTCAAAGTGCCTCCCGCTGAGGAAGCTCATTCAGAGGCATCCCTGGACCTCTGGGTTTGCTGGGAGCAGAGGGATGCAGACCCTCCTGAGCGTGCCCTTGGGCACTCAGCCCTGGCAGCTGGCCTGTGAGAACAGGGCTCAGTCCAGGAGAGGCTTGCAAGGTGGCAGCACCCCGGGGGCAGGAATGGGGTCAACTTCTGTCCTGGGAAGGCCCTTTTGAGAACCAGACTTAAGAAAGTGTGGGAAATGTTCTGTGATTAAATGATGATGTTTATGTTTGGAGGAAGGTAGGAGGGGAGAAAATCACCCTTCCTTTGTGAGACTCTGGGCCCATGAGAGCTTCTATGTCTCCAGTCATCTTTCTCACCAGGTGTGAGAACCAAGGGGTGGAGCGCAGTCCTCAGTCTTTGATCGTCCCAGGGGAGCAGGGTGCTGCCCTCACGCAGGCCCTCAGAGGCTGAGCTCCCTCACACAGGTGCAGGCAGAAGCCTGGGGAAGGGCCCGTCTTCTGGAGGACGTCACTGAAGGTGGAGGAGGGAAAGGCCGTGACAAAGTAGCCACCATGCTCACGAGAAAGGCAGCCAAGCAAACCGCACACCGCAGCCTCCCAGCCGGTCCACGGGCACCGACTTCACCCAGGCCCCGGAGGCTCTGCTCAAAGCTGACGCTGGGCCCGAGGCCCTTCCAGAACCAGGGCTCCTCTTAAGACTCAGCCAGGCTCTTAAGATTATTTCTAATATAACATTAATTTCTTGATCACTCTATAATTTACAGGAGGTAATTGTGAAATTGCATGGCAGGTAACATAAATTTTAAAGAGAATCCCATAAATTTCAATTTCAAAAACCAGAGCAAGTTACTACAAGAATGAGCTAGATATGTGATGTACCTCTGTGCCTGTACTCCTGTCTGAAAATTAATAGTAACCTCTCTTTCTTCCACTGAAGCTTGTCACTAGAAAGAAATGAAAGAAAGAAAAAGGTTAAGAGACAAGGCTTTTATCTGGCTTGTTGGTGGGTATCAGGACTGTACACCTTGCACTGCTAATGTTGACACTTACATGGAAGGGTCACTGGCAATATTTTTTCCCAACTTTTTGAGGAAATGTCACTAAAAATTACCTGAATCCTTAGGCCAACACCCACTTCCTCACCCTGTGCTCTATTCTGGTTGATTTTCAGCCTTGCCTGGGGGACTCTGTGTTACCAACATGACACCTTCTCCTATCAGTGTACCCACCTGTACAATGGTCTACCACCCTTCCTCAGTTGTTCCCCCACATCAGACCCAGCATAACACAGGAATGTAGTAAATGCTCAACAAATTTTGAGTGATTAATTTATTCATAAGCATTTAGTATGACAAAGAGGAAAATGTTTCTTCTTCAATAGACAAATTAAAATGCACAAATGGAACCATTTTTTTGTTTAAATTTCTCCAATAAAGAAGAAACATTAGTTACTCATTTTCATTTCCCAACCAAACATCAAGAGGAAAATAAAATATGATTCATAGTTAAGAAAAGCCAATAGAATTAGCTTTTGAGATGGCTTGAGGTATAGAATTCTCAGACATCAGCTGGCTGTTCTCCACCAACTCAGTTCCCACATTACTTACTGGAGTGAGCATTGGCTCCCCTAGATTGAGGGTTCAATACCACAAGTCTGCCCCTTCCCCACTCCAAACACCAGTGGAAAGTACAGGTTCTTACCTGTGCTTCTGACCACCTAGCTACAGATCACAGGTTCCAAGGGCCTGCTCCTTGGACTTCAGGAGCCAGCTCCGCTCCACGCTGTCCCACGTACTTGTGACCCATTGGCTGTAAGTCAGAGGTTCCCATTATCCCCTCTTGGGTTCAGTTACTTGCTAGAGTGGCTCACTGAACTCAGAGAAACCTTTTATTTACTAGTTCATCAATTTATAATAAAAGGAAATAGGGAACTCAGAGACAAATGTTCCTTCAGGAAAGGAGAAAAATAACTATTTTAAACAAACTATTCTCATTAGAGAAGAAAAGCTCACCAACTTCTCTATCAAGCAAAAAGGAATTAACATTTGTGAAGGATAGCTAGTGAACATAATTTAATTGAAATTATTCTTGGGTTTTTAAATAGGTAATAAAGATACATGTTATAAACTAAAATTATACAAAAGTACATCTACTGAAAAGAAACATTTCCTCTTACCTTCATCCCCCTATCACCAGCAGCGTAGTTGAGTCTTTGTTAAAATTAAAATTTCCCTGAAGTTATTTTCTTTTTATTATTGAGTGCAAGGGATCTTTATATTCTGGATACACGACCCTTAACAGACATATGATTTGCAAATAGTTGTTTCCTTCTGTGGTTTGTATTTTTCACTGTCTCTATAGCATCTTTTGAAGCAAGAATATTTTTAATTTTGAAAAAGTTTAATTTATTTTTTCTTCAACTGCTTTGTGTTTTGAGGTCATACTTTAAAAATCATTGTCTAATCCAAGGTCATGAAAATTTACATCTATGTTTTCTTCTGAGAGTTTTATCTTTTCAGTTTGTACATTGAGGTCATTGATCCATTTCAGGTGAATTTTGGCGGTAGAGATTCAACTTCATCTTTTGCATATGCATAACTAGACAGCTGGAGTCCCTAACAAAAAGAAAATAGAGTAACTGTTAACGATATCAGATAAAAGAGACATTAAACCAGGAATTATCACTAGAGATTCAGAGCAATACTTGAAAATGATTAAGCAGAGAATCTACCAGAAGAGAGAACAATTCTGCTTTCATATGCCCCAGTAGCATAGCTTCAAGATATATCAAACTCAAACAAGTAGAACTATTGAGTGAAATTAAACTATTGGAGTTTATTAATTTAAAAAATTAATAATCAAATATACAGCCACAGTGGCAAGCATTAATCACTGTAGAAACATATTGAGATATGTTTCAGTAGAAACTAAAAGAAATATGACAAACAGAAGTAAAATTCTGTAACCAAATTTCATCTATTGAACACATTACCCACAAACATCAGTCTGCATATTCTTTTCAAATGCATGTGGATTGTTTATCCAAGTTCACTATATTCTGGTTTAAAGCAAGTCTTAATTAATTTCAAGGGCTTTAAGTCATTCCGAATATAATCTCTGATCACAAAAGTATTCAGTGAGAATTCAATATCAAAATAAAATTAAACTTCATTTCTGTACCTTGCTAGATCTAATAGTCATTTTTCAGATGTATTGCCATGGAAAAAACATCAAGGCAAACCAAGGCCTGGGCTGGGGTAGATGTGCCAGTCTCTGAGCAGAGCAGTGTAACATCCGACTTATGAACAGTAGTACTTCCTCTCTGGGGCAGAAACTTCAAATAGCCCAGCTACTCTGCCCTCAGGCACTCGGAGAAGGGCTGGTCTCTGGGCTGGAGTGAAAACAAGATAAATTTCAACCGGGGGAAGAACTTTGATCATGCTCTGCCTTGGCCTGCTGTGGACATTCATAGCCTCCTTTGTCTTCAGTACGTGTGTCCAAACATGGGACCCCAGCCTCCTCCTAGGACTCAAGGACAGAACTATGCAAATTCTAACTGGAACTAGTGGGGGTACTAAGAGGGAAGAGAGGTGGGGAAGTGAAACACTCTGCGATTATTTTCTTAGTCCTTGTGTAGCAAACTAATGTACACCTCTGTGGCATGTCAGAGAACCAACCCTGTCTTCTCTCCCTTTCACAGGATCCAGCATGGCTTACAGAGTAACCCAACCTCAGGCTACAATTACAGCACAGGAAGGAGAAGCTGTGACCCTGCCCTGCACATATGAAACCAGCTGGAGTACTTATATTTTGTACTGGTACAAGCAGCCTGCCAGTGGAGAGATGGTTCTGCTTATTACACAGTATTCTAGTTATTCAAATGCAAAGGAAGGTCCCTATTCTGTGAACTTTCAAAAGGCAAAAAAGTCCATCAGCTTCACCATCTCCTCTTTGAAACTGGAAGACTCAGTGAAGTACTTCTGTGCTCTCGTAGAATCCCACAGTTATAGAAACGAGAGGGGCAGCTTAACAAAAACCTTAGAGCTCCATGAAGACAGCCACCTGCTCAGAGGCTTAAGAAACCCAGGACCCACAGACAGGAAGAAGGCGGGCTGTGTGGTGGCACCGCTGAGACCCTCTAATGGAAACTTGCTTCTATAAACAGTGCTGCATATTTAGCAGAGTGTATAAAGCAGCACTCCTTCCTGAGAGTCTCAGGTCTTATGTTTATGTTTAGTAAAAACTGCTTCTCAAATTGTTCCTAAACAGGTTGAATGAATGTATTTATTTCAGAAAAATCAGTAGTTTCATAATTCTTATCTTGAATTATTGGGTTTTTAGTTATGAAATAAGACTAAAATCAATAATTTTTTCTCTTTTATTACCATGGTGATTATAACAAATCTAAGAAATGTAATAATTTATTAACTTACATATTTATGTATGGATACATTTTAAGAAAAATTTTATGAGTACATAAATCAATTTTTATGTATATTTATTGCAATGGTATAGATAAGAAAGCAAGTAATCTTTTGAAAGTGCTATATAGCCAAAAGTATATTTGACTTAAAGTATGATCATTAGAGATTCAGTAACTATTTGGTTGTTAAGAAACCCAGGCAAGAAATGCGCTGAGTAATCTATTTATTCCCCAAGGAAGGTATAGCCCTTAACATGTGGCCAAAGAGGAAAATGGAAGAAGAAAATCCAAGAGGGCTGAGTCAGTGAAAGTGAAGAACAATGAGCAAGAGAGCTCCTTGTATAAAGCAGAGTCTTATCAAACTGGACAACAGCAGGGACTTAACCAGTGCCTCCTGGGATCTCAGACTTGGTTCAGACCAACACTATGTGTTGCTCTTCATTGTCTTTTGCAGTAGAACTGGATATGACAATCCTGTATGTGTTCCATAATTCTTTATTATGTGTGGATGACATACTTTATTTGTATAGTTACACAAAAGTATTTGATGTACACAACATTCACTCATAATAAAGAAATAAATTCCTAGCAATTTAAGAATAAAATAAAAACTTCCCCATTCTGGTAAAGGGTATATTCTATAAACTAAAGCAAATACCAAATTTAACGATGAAATGCTGAATGCTTCCTTTCAAAGCCAAATAATATTATTTCTATTAAACAGTGTACTGGAGGTCCTAGCCTGTATAATAAGAAAGAGAAAAAAACAAAAGCTTTATAAATAGAAATCCAAAAATATAAATAACATTAATCACAGATATGATTATGTTAATAGACAATCCAAAGTAATCTATTTATTATATTGCATATATTACTAAAACAGTTCAGCTATGTAATATTTAAAATTATATATTTTATATACAAGCAACTAGAAATTACAAACGAATTTTTAAAAATAATCTTAAAATAGCATAAGAATGCAAAATACTTAGGAATAAATGTTTTGAAAATATTTACAAGACCCCAGGACAGAAAGCTGTAAAACATAAATAAAACAAATTTAAGCTATCAATAATGGGAGACTACACCATACTCATGAGTTAGAAGATAGATGCATAATGCAGAAATGTCAAGTCTGTCACATAAGGCAAATAAATTCAATAAAATCCCCATTGTTCTCAATAGCATTTGTGTGGGTATACACACAATAAGCCAATTCTGGAATATATGTGGGAAAAAAGTCAAGAATATTCAAGACAGTCAGAAAGAAGAAGAGCAAGGAGGAGGACTTTTTCTTTCCACTATTAGGCCTCTGAAATTAAAACTGTGGTATGAGCGAAAGAATAGACAGTTAGACAAAGACCATCAGCTGAAAGCATTTCAGTTGCCTCTCATATCCTCTCTCCGTCTTTGTCCTCTCTGCTTTCTGCTTCAGGAGACTTCTCTGAATGGACAATACAAATATGGCTCCTTTTCTTTCTGGATTTTGTGCATTTCTGTCAATGTGGAGCCCACTGTAGAAATCCAAAAGAGGTCAGAGTACTTATGCCTGTGCCCTTCCTGAAGGATCTCTTTGAGTAGGTCATGTCACTTCTCCAAAGACTGCAGCATCTTTCAGGTTGGTTCTCTGTATATGATCATCTCCTTTACCATATCTACAATATGCCCTACTTCCCAAATACTCTCTGGACCTAGGGATAGTAAAAGCTCCATTGGCCTATGGCTAATGAGGTTGGAATGCAGACGTTTCCTGCTATCTTATAGAGGAAGAAATTGGGAAATTCAGGGAAGTGGGAGTGTTGATATTGAACTTGTCAGTGTCATCTGATCGTATGCTTATAACCACTCCTTGGGAATCCCAGAGGATACTCCCTTTAACCATGGCATCAAGAAACTTACTGTTGAGTAGGTCACTGGAATCTTTAAAATGGTGTTGGAAGCAGTTTCTGTAGGATGAAGATGATGGGGACAGGAGTGTACACAAAAGAAGGATCTTGCCATATAAGCTGCTTTTCTGACTTCTGTTGGCATAGCAGGATTTTGGGGTGGCAGTGGTGATTAATAGATGGAGACAAGGTATGTGATATTACCACAATAAACAAAGAGAAAGAGTGTTAATCAGGGTGCTTTAACCTTCAGAGATCTCTGGAGAGAGCTAATGAATCATGCAGTACCTGCAAATCAAAGTGAGGCAGCCCACTATGGTCCTGCTTTTATCTTCTGGATTCGTGGGTGGAGGGGGGGCAGTAGAATGTAACTTGAGGTGCTATAGTGTGGATTCACAGCATCCTTATTGAGTTCCCAAGCTAAGCTAGTTGAGACACTAGAATTCCTGAACTAAGAAGGCCAAGCGCATTTGAGAAACACTGCAAGACCATAGTTTTTGCAAGGACATGGAGTTGATTATGTTGCTTCTAAGAATGTACAATTATGCCAGCACATTGGAAAATGTTTTAGCATTTTTTAAAGGTTAAACATACACACGCCACATGACCCAACAATTGCACTCGTGGGATTTTATCCAAAAGAAATATAAATGACTAAAGAAATATTTGCATTCACATACTCATAGCAACTTTCTTCATGACAGCCCAGAACTGGCAGCAACCCAAATGTCTGTCAATAAGTGAACTGAATGCTAGTCAGTAATAAGAATGAGACACATATACATGATAACATGGGTGCATTCTGAAAACATACTGAGAAAAAGAAGCCAGAAGACATGAGATCACACTGTTTCCATTTGTTTGAAACTCTAGATTAGACAAATTTAATGTATATTGACAAAGCAGAACAGTGGTTGTCTGGGTTCTGGACTTGGGGAAGATTAATGAGGGGCACAGAAGAATGTTTTGTGGTGAAATAATTGTTCTATACCTTGATTTACACAATAGTTCCATGAGACTGTAAATATTTCAAAACTCACTGAATTTCAAAACATTTAAAAAGGATTCATTTTGCTGCATGTAATTTATGCCTCAATAATATTGACTTGAGTACCAGTGGAACAATAAAAAGAGTGAGATATTGCTACACATCCACCAGAAAGTCTAAACTTTAAAAAAACAGTAATATCAAGTAATGGAAAGAGTGATTCATTGAAACCCTCACAGGTACAAGCAAGGTTGCAAACTGATAATAATTCTTAGAAGAACTTTCGGCACTAACTTTTCAGTGTGAAGATATTCATACAACAAGATTCAGTAAGGATAGACACATAGATAAATGGAAAAGAATTAAATGTCTAAAATAAACCCATACATTTACAGTCAATGGATTTTTGATAAGGGTGCCAAGACAATTCAATGGGGAAAGTATAGTGTTTTGAACACAGGTGCAGAAATAACTGGAGGTCCACATATAAGAGTGAAACTGCACTCTTTCTTTATACCATATTCAAAAAACTACCTCCAGCTGTGTCAAAGACAATTAGAAGATCTGTAAGTATAAATCTCTTAGGAGAAGCGTGGCAATAAATCTGTGTGACCTTGAATTAGGCAAAGGCTTCTTAGATATGACACCAAAAGTACAAGTGACAGAGTAAAACAGATAAACTGGGCTTCATCAAAAGTAAAACTTCTGTGCTTCAAAGAATATATTCAGGAAAGTGAACAGCCAACCAGCAAAATGGAAAAAAAAGTCTTTGCAAATCGTTATGTCAAACAAGGGACTTATGTCTGGAACTCTCACAACTCAACAATAAATTCAGTTTAAAATGGGTCAAATATTTGAATAGATATTTCTCCAAAGAAGATATGACAATGGCCAATAAGCACATGGCAAGATGCTCACCACTGTAAGCTGTTGAGGAAATACTGTCCAAAACACAGGAAAATACTGCTTCACAGCCACTAAGACTGCTTAATCAAAAAGACTAAACATAACAGGTATGATGACAATATAAAGAAATGGAACCTTCTCACATTTTTATGAGTGTGTAAAATGGTGCAGCCTCTTTGGAAAATTAT